TGCCAGTTCCCCCGAGGGTCTGCCCATCACCGCCCTCCTCCTCCCCCTGGCTGCTCCCTCGTGTCCCTTGGATTCCACCTGCCCCGGGCTCTGCTGTAGCCACCCTGACGACCCCGACCCTCGTGTCCCCTGACTGCCCCTGGCCACCCCACAGGTGGGGCTGGGCCTGGTCCGCTTCGGCTTTGTGGTCACCTACCTGTCGGAGCCCCTGGTCCGCGGCTATACGACGGCCGCGTCTGTGCAGGTCTTCGTCTCGCAGCTCAAGTATGTGTTTGGCCTCCAACTGAGCAGCCGCTCGGGGCCGCTGTCCCTCATCTATGTGAGTGAGGGCGGGAGGAGGGACGGGCGGGGTGCGCCCCACAACCTTGAGTGCTACCCGTGACCCTGCCTCCCCTCAGACAGTGGTGGACGTCTGCTCGAAGCTGCCCCAGAGTGTGGTGGGCACGGTGGTCACTGCGTTGGTGGCAGGGGTGGTGCTGGTGCTGGTGAAACTGCTCAGTGACAAGCTGCACCGATATCTGCCCATGCCGATCCCTGGGGAGCTGCTAACGGTTCGGAATCTGCGGGGCCGGGGGGAGGGGCAGGGGAGGATACATCCCTGCTGGCGGGCGCCCCCCAGGACTTAAAGACCAGCTGGAGTGGGCACCAGGGAGAGTTCCTGGGGACGGGGTGTGACCACAGAAGGAAGGTCCCATGTTAGTACCTTCCGGACCCTGATAGCATCTCCACTTTCCCCAAAGGGTGGTGTGTTTTACCCTGTTGCCCACTTCTCCCCACCCCCCCGGAAGGCTTTGCTTCACCCCTCGTGGGGCTCCACCCCCCACCCTATGGTCTGTTTCCCACAGTGGTTTCTCCAGCCCCTTGATGATGCCAGCGCCACTCCCCTGACTCTGTCCTCTCTCCCCAGCTCATCGGGGCCACAGGCATCTCCTACGGTGTGGGCCTAAAGGCCAGATTTGGGGTGGATGTCGTGGGTGACATCCCTGCAGGGTGAGCTCTGGCCCCTGTCCGGTCGGGGAGGGCTGGGGGCCCAGGGCCAGCTCCTTCCTTTGGCCTCACAGATGCCTCTCGCAGGCTGTTGCCCCCAGCGGCCCCCAGCCCCCAGCTGTTCGCCAGCCTGGTGGGATATGCCTTCACCATCGCTGTGGTTGGTTTTGCCATTGCCATCTCCCTGGGGAAGATCTTCGCCCTGAGGCACGGCTACCGGGTGGACAGCAACCAGGTCTGGGGGTGGGATACAGGGGTCGCTGGGTATAGAGAGACCCCAGGGCCTGGGGGCGGGGGGTGTGGAGTATCAGGTGGGACATAGGGAAACCGCAAACAGATGTGCTGGGGCCGTGCAGGGGACTGAGGGTGGGAGAGCAAGGCATTTGGGACAGCAGCAGCCAAGTCTGGGGGCTGTTGAGTGTGGATGGAGGTTGGGGACACCTAGGCCTGGACATAGTGGCCCAGGCACCAGACACTACATACCTGCACTTTTTCTCCACCAGGAGCTGGTGGCTCTTGGCCTCAGTAACCTCATTGGGGGCATCTTCCAGTGCTTCCCCGTGAGCTGCTCCATGTCCCGCAGTCTGGTACAGGAGAGTGCCGGGGGCAACACACAGGTGGGCTTCGGGCGTGGGTGGGCATCTGTGCACGCGCACACACACCACGTTGGCTGGGCGATCCCACCCCGCTCCTCCCTCCACCCCCCACAGGTGGCTGGAGCTGTCTCCTCCCTCTTCATCCTCATTATCATCGTCAAACTTGGGGAGCTCTTCAGAGACCTGCCCAAGGTGAGTGGCCACATCCACCCAGCCGGGCTTGAGGGACTTGGCCAGGCCAGAGGCTCCGGTCAGTCAGGTCCTAGGGGAGGGGCAGGAATACAAGGTCATGCATGACCTCTTTGTCAAGGTTCAGCTCTTTAGGGTGAGATTTGGAGTCAAGGGTCAGGGATTAGAACCCTTCAGAGTCGGATCCAAGTTGTTTGGCTCGGGGTGGTCGTTAGCGTCATGCGGGGTGATGCCAGCATGGGTCTGGCTCCTGCCCCGGTGGTCAGGCTTGTCAGCATCTGGGCACCTCGCAGCAGCCCCTGCTGACACGCCCTCTCCTCATCCAGGCAGTCCTGGCAGCTGCCATTATCGTGAATTTGAAGGGCATGTTGAAGCAGTTCAGCGACATACGTTCCCTCTGGAAGTCTAATCGAATGGATCTGGTGAGAGGCCTGGGAGCCCAGGGGTGGGTCTGGGGGCCCCTGTCCTGCTGCCCGCTGTCTTGCTGCTGAACCCACACGGCCTTTCTCCTGACCTCCTGGCCTCCTGGCCTCCTGAGTTCTTAGTCTCACTCATCCCTCCTTTCTCCCTGATGCCCCCAGGGCCCCTGCTTTGCTCCCCTGGCAGGTCAGCCCTCTGGGCGGAGTTTCATTTTTCTCCCACTCCCCTAGCCATGTTACCCTTCTACTTTTAGCTCATCTGGCTGGTGACCTTTGTGGCCACCATCCTGCTGAACCTGGACATCGGCCTGGCAATCTCAGTCGTCTTCTCCCTGCTGCTCGTGGTGGTCCGCACACAGCTGTGAGTCTCCCCTTTCGGTCCCCCCATCCCAGTTGGTGAGGGGGTGAGGGCCACTCTGGCTCCCTCCAGCTTTCCCGCATCTCAGGGGTAACCCTAGGCTCCCTGGTACCCCCTCATGGCCCCCTCCTCACACACTCTCCTTCACAGGCCCCGCTACTCTGTCTTGGGGCAGGTGCCGGACACGGACATTTACCAAGATGTGGCTGAGTACTCAGAGGTGGGTGGGAGGGGCTGGGCAGGAGGAAGGCCTGGTGGGGTGGGACAGAGGCAGGATGAGCCTTTGTTAGTCCTTTCTATACCCGGCAAAGACCCTGGGGGCTGAGAGTGCTTTGGTCCTGGGAGCTTCAAGGGAGGAATTTGGGTCTGTGACTCAAAAGCTACGAAAGGACAGAGGAGCAGTGGACAGAGAGGGACTGAGGAGCCTGGAGAGGGGTCTGTCTTGGAGCCAGCAGTCAAGCCTTATCCTGCCGAGCAGCCTTGGTGCAGGAATGCTGGTGGGGCAGGAGCCCGGGGCACGAGGATGTAGGGGAGGCTGTTTCCTGATCTGATCAGTGGAGTTCCCACATCTCAGTGGTTCATTTACCTCCTGAGAAGCCTCGTGCCTAATAGTGGGGTTCTGGAATAAAACAAGCCCATTCCTGCTGACATGGAGCCTTGGAGTCTGAGTACAGTATAATCAGGCAGAGTAAGGGGAGGGCAGGAGGTGGAGCAGCTCAGCAGGCTGGAAAGGGAGGTGGGGGGCACATTATGCAGGCCTGAGTGCCGAGCAGTGCCACACTTCCTGGGCTGTGCCCTGGATGGAGTGGGAGCTGGGGAGGAAACTGTGCGCGGGCAGGAAACAGACCATAGGGTGGGGGGTGGAGCCCCACGAGGAGGCCTAATACCCTGGCCTGGGTATTGGCAGAAGGGAGGGGAGGTGGGGAGGGAGGGTGCAGGATGCCCTGGAGGAAGCATTGACAGGCCTGGCTGAGGGCCTGGGTGGCAAGGTTGGGGGCTAGGGAGCAGGACGAGGAGTTGGGGTGATATGGCCAAGCTTGTGGCCCAAGATCTTGGGAGAACAGGGGCCGCAGGCTGGGCCCATGCTGGCCGGTGAGCAGAGGCTTGGTGATGGGAGCCCTGGGCCACACGGGGAGGAAAGCAGGAGAACACGATACAACCAGGAGAATGGAGGGCTCAGCCACCCAACCTGACCCATCCCCAGGCCAGGGAGGTCCCAGGCGTGAAGGTCTTCCGCTCCTCAGCCACCATGTACTTTGCTAATGCTGAGCTCTACAGCGACGCGCTGAAGCAGAGGGTGAGTCCGGGGGTCCCCAGGGTGAGTGTCAGAGGCTCCCTCACCTCCCCAGAGCATCCACATCCCCTTCCCTGACATTTGCCTCTAGTGCGGTGTGGACGTTGACCACCTCATCTCCCAGAAGAAGAAGCGGCTCAGGAAGCAGGAGCAAAAGCTGAAGCGACTGCAGAAGAGTCTCCAGAAAGAGGCAGGGGCCCCTTCAAGCCAGGTATTCCTGCCCCCTGTCCTGCTGCTGAACCCACATGCTCTTTCTCCTGGCCTCCTGGCCTGAGTTCTTAGCCTCACTCATCCCTCCTTCCTCCCTGATGCCCCCCCCACCCTGCTGGGCCCCTGCTTTGCTCCCCCGGCAGGTCAGCGCTCTGGGCAGAGTTTTGTCCCCCCAACCCCCAAGCCAGTGATAGCATGGACCACCACAGTCCTCTTCCATTTTTGGCTGCTCCTGGAGCTGGTGAAAACCCCACCACCTCCAGCCTGGCAGCCCTGGGTCCTAAGCTTTAGTTTCTGGCCTGCCTAGCTGCCCAAAGCCTGGGGGTGATACCAGACTTGCCTGGTTGGCTGTCCTATGACAGCTGGGAGAACTCTTTCTTGTCCCCCTTCTCCCCGGCCTAGACTGCCGCCTCCGAGGGCACATCTGTTTCCATCCAAGTCAACACCAGCATCAGAGACATGGAGAGCAACAACGTGGAGGACTCCAAGGCTAAGGTGAGGCTGGAGGTGGGAGAGGGGGCAGCCATGAGCTGCAGAGATGTGAGTGGTCCATGCATGTCCTGCAAGGAAAGCCGTGGGTTCGAGGTGGTTGCGCCAGCGGTGGGGGGTGGGGGGATGCGGGTGGTGATGGATCCGATGCCTTCTGGAGAGAGGCCTAGTGATCTGCCATAGATTCTGCTTGTGGCTCTCTGGTCTACCATCCAAAGACGTTGAATTTGTGGAGTCCACAAGATTCATGGGTAGAGAGAAGGGACTGGGGCTATGGGGAAAAATATGGGATCAAAAGGGACGCCAAGCTCAACTAGAGACCCAGGCAGGGTGCCAAGCTGTCTGTGTGTGCTCACGTGTCCCTGGGCCCCCTACCCGCCCCACCCTGGCTGGCTGAGGATGGGGCGCTGTCACCCAGCACCCCACCTTCTTAAGCGTCCCTAGGCCTGAGCTCGGGAGATAACAGAGCAGTATATGCACGTCTGTGCATGCTCCCTGAGTCTGGGCTTCCTCTCCTGTGCATCCCCATATGTCCCTCCTGTCCCTCCTGTCTTTACATACAAGAGCCTCCTCCATGTCCAGGTTTTCATGTGTCCCCTGCATGTCCCATATATGCAGGTGTTTGCATGCATGCTCCCACATCTGACCCAGTGTGGCCCTTGCCTGTCCGTGTGTGTTCTTTGCCATCACCCCTTCCTGGGCAGCCTTTGCAGGGTGTCTGGTTTCCCAGCAGGCGAGCACAGGGAATGAGCTAGAGGATGCAGCAGCCAGTGGTCAGGAAGATGCTAAGGCCCCAAATGGGTCCACACTGAAGGCCCTGGGCCTGCCTCAGCCACACTTCCACAGCCTTGTCCTGGACCTGGGTGCCCTCTCCTTCGTGGACACTGTGTGCATCAAGAACCTGAAGAACGTAAGGGGCTGGGGCACCCCTAAGAAGAGCCCTGGGAGAGGACAAGGCCCCCTAAGCCTCCTCACCCCGTAACTAGACCCAAGAGCCCCTCTGAGCTCCCTCTCAAAACTCCCTCCCCCACAACCTGCCTGAGTCCTTCCTTGGAGCCCTTGAGCTTCCCTCTGAGCCTGGCCCCCTTTTCTGTTGCAGATTTTCAGCGACTTCCGAGAGATCGAGGTGGAAGTGTATATGGCCGCCTGCCACAGTGCGTGGGGGGTACAGCATGAGTGGTCTGGGAGGGGAGTGGGGCTCTTTCAGCCAAGGAGTCTGCCAAGCAGCACAAGGAAAACTCTTTCTCTGAGACTGGAGGTCAGAGGCGTCTTGGGAGGCAGGGGTCAACGGTCAGGAGTGACTGGAGGTTTTGTTGTCACCTCAGGAGGTAGAGGTCATGGGTGAAATGGGTCAGGGTGTTCTGGTGACTGAGGTTGGGGGTTGGGGTTCCTGGTGGTTCTCTGAGCTAGGGGAGACCTATTCCTTGCCCGCAGCTCCTGTGATCGCCCAGCTTGAGGCTGGGCACTTCTTCGATGCTTCGATCACTAAGCAGCATCTCTTTGCCTCTGTCCACGATGCTGTCCTCTTTGCCCTCCAACACCCGAGGCCCAGCCCTGCCAGCTCTGTTTTGGTGAGCTGGCCTCTGGCTCACAGAGCTGTTTTTGTTTGTCTACTGCTTGTCCCTATCCTGACCCCCACCTCCAGGAAGTCCACCCATCCTGAATGGCTCTGCCGCAGTGGACCCACTGCCTTCCCTTCCTGCCTTCAGCTGAAGCTGCTCCCGGGAGCAGGGGTTGCTGTCCGGGGGGAAAGGGTTGATATGTGTTTTTGGAAACTGACTGGAGCCTCCCCTCCTCTGCCCACTCAGATGACCAAACTCTGACCATGCCGCCGCCCTGCCTGAGACTGCTCACCTCTGCAGGTTGTGACCAGGCACTTGTGAGAATCTCCCTGCCCCTGGGCTGCCTCCAGATGTCACCCAGGAGTCCCCTCCGGATACACACACACACACACACACACACACATAACTCAGGGATGGAGGTCCTGGGTCTCCCAAGTTCAGTGCTATAGGCCTGGGCCTGGGATGGGACACTGGAGTCAGACCGGCTGGGTTGGGGGAAGACGCATGTTTTTAGCCCCAAAAATAAAGACCTGTTTGCCTACCACCAGCTTGCTGTGCCTTGGTGTGGGCTTGGTGGGGTGGGCAGTGATCCACAGCCCTGACTCCTGACTCTTCTTATGCTCCAAAGTGGGGGGCTGAAGTCAGAAGTTGGGGGGACGTTTGAGGAGGGCAGAGTCCAGTGAGTGAATAGAGAGCCAGAGGGAGAGTTATGGGGCCCAGAGCCAGGGTGGGGGCACCCCAGGTTCAAGCTCCCCAGCCACGCACAACCCTCAGCGCCTGTGTCTTCAGCTGGAAGACTGTGGAATCAGACCTGCTTCTCAGGAATGGTCCCAGTGAGTGCAGCCCCTGGAGGGTGTAGAGTAAATGCCTGAGCAACCAGCTGGGGGAGCATGGTGTTCACAGGCACTGCTGGTCTGTGTCGAGAAGTAAGAATGCGTAGGATTGACTTACTTGGGAAAAAGCCCATTCATATCATTAGGTCACTTGGGCTGTGCAGGTCACTGCAAGAAGCATGTGCTTGATTTCTACCTTAAACGGTCAGTATCTGGGTGTGTTGCCCAGTGGGCAGCAGTGGGCCTTCCTTCGGGCCAGCTGATGCTCTGAGTGAGTGGGGGTGGGGGGCTAGAATCTTTCTGGGTCTCCTCGGCACCACAGCGGGGATGGTAACCGCATCCATGTCGTGGGTTGCTCCGTGAGTATTAAACGAGGCAGTGCCAAGGAGTGCTTATAACAATGCCAGGCTCCTGTTACCTGCTCAGAACACATGAGCTCTGCCGTCCACCAGGTAATGACCAGGTGCTGTGCTGGGCAAGTGGACAGAGGCTGTCCTGCCCTTCAAGTCACCGAGGTGCCCCTTGTCCAGCTCAGTGTTTGGCAGCGGCATCCTGCTCTGTGTTCATGAATCATCGGCGCCCGGCCCCCCCCAGCCAACCACAGCCCAGGAAGTCAGGGCTTTTTAATCTACTCTGACACGCCATGTCCCTGCACCAGAAATGTTGCCTGGCGTGTGGTGTGCTTGGGAAGTACTGGGTGAGTGAAGCTTATGTGCCGGAGTGGAGGCCAGACCCCAAATAAGAAATTGCAGATTATCAGAACTGCTTTGAAGAAAACAAAATGGGGTCACGCAAGAGGGGAGGGACTGTGTTGCCCAACAGGGGCATGGGAGGGAAGCTAAGGGAGCAGGTCACACAAGCCATGAGAAGTGGAGTGGAGGACTGTGTCCCGCCGTAGGAAACAGCAATTGTGTTCGGGAACACCAGGGAGGCCTGCACGAGGCCAGAGGGCGGCCACGGCACGCAGGACCTCACGGGCCAGCGCGAGCCTTCAGGCTTTATTCAGAGCGTTTGGGGGCCCCACACTTGTGAGGGTTCACCCTGCTGTAATTTGGACTGTGGGGTAGGCTGGGCTTTGGGGACCAGCAAGCAGCTCTATGCTGGACAACAGCCTTAGGAGCTGTGAGGTGTTAGAATTTTAGGGATTGGACGTTATGGGAGGAGGAGGAGGTGGGGGAAGGTATTCCTTCAGTCTTGGGCTGGCTAGGAGATTGGCACCCAGGCTTCAAGCCTGCCACCCCCCTCGGCCCTGGAAGCCCCCCTTCCCCACCCTGCTGTGTTTTCTGGCCAGGCTGCCCCTCATGAAAGGCCATGGACCCAGCTGGAACCTGCTGCCTGCTGCTGGGGGAGGGGTGTTTGCCCGTTGCCGGGCACCCAGGTTCTATCCGGGCATTTGGCGCCGCCATGCTGCTCGCACCGTCCTTCCTGCTCCTGCTGCCCCTGCTGGCCCTGCCAGCCCCCTCCCACGCCTGGTCTCGGCCCCTGTGGTACCAGGTGGGACTGGACCTCCAGCCTTGGGGCTGCCAGCCCAACAGCCTGGAAGGTTGTGGGGGCAGCCTGGGCTGTCCTGGCCACTGGATGGGCCTGGGGATGAGCCGCATCTACCCTGTGGCTGGGGTCACAGTCACCACTACCATGATGCTGATGATGGGCCGAGCAGTGCTTCAGCGACGGCGCTCCCAGGCTTCTAAGTCTGAGGTGAGTGTAGCACGGCTCTGCCCGCCGCAGCTGCCTCCTCCGCTCAGACCCACTGAGGGCCTGGGCCTGGGCCTTGGGTCCCCTCCCCGACTGCTCACACCCTGTGTTCCTACATCTGTCCACACCTGTCAGCCCCTGACCATTGCCTGTGGCCAGTACTCTGTCCCCATCTGTCCACCCGTTTACTCTCCCTATTCCTCATCCAGCCCCTGTGGCCCCCGTGACCACCCCAGCCCACAACAGACCCTCGGTGAGCCTCCATCACCAACTCCCTTCCTGTGCCCTTCTCCCTGGTCTCCTTGCTGCCCCTCACCACACCCCCATTCCGTCCCTCTGCTCTTACTCCTGCCTCTTGGTCCTATCTTCAGCATCCACGGGTGACCACTAACCTCCCTGGACCCTGGAAACGGCGGACCCCAATCTCAGACCGCGCCCTGCTCCTTGGTGTCCTGCACATGCTGGATTCCCTCCTGGTCCATATTGAGAGCCACCTGCAGCGTATATCTACCCAACAGAAGTCCCAAATAAAGGGGACTCCCGCCCAGAGTGGGTGACCCAATATATGCCTCTCTGCCTGGTGGCCAGTCGGGGTGGGGATGGCCTGAGGCTCTGGGCCAGGCTCAGGCCTGTGTGTGTGTCTTCTCCAGGCCTGCCTGGACCCTGTGTCCCCTTTCTACTTCTGTAGCCAGCAGACTTGAGGCCTCCGTGCCCAGGGTGGGTGGGCAGATGGGACTGGCCCACACTGCTCCATTGCCCCTACCCCTCTTCCCTAACTTCTCACCCACAAACGTACCTGTTCCTCGGGGGCCCCAGTGTGGTGGGACAAGACTCGACCATCAGGGCAGACGTGGGTAGTCCATGGAGGTGACAATGGCCGAGTCAGTGAGGGCTCCCAGTTGGTGATGCAGGGGGTCGGGGGTGGTGTGAAGGGTGAGCCCTGGCCACCTTCATCTTTGTGGCAGCCCCAAACATCCTCTGGCACCTGAGTGGCCCCTGCCCTAAGGCCCCTGGAAGTGGAGTGAGGGCTGAACTTCACCCCCTCTTCCCTTCCTTCTGCAGATAACCCAGGTTGAGCAGGTACTGAGGCCTATGCATGTTTAAGGTCTATTTTAGAAAAAGAATATTCTATTCAAAAATAGAAACAGATGCATTCACATCAGGAAAGAAACGAGAGATTACCAGTGTTAAAGAGTTGACCCTACAATGCAAAATCCAGACCAATAATGTGTTTGTGGTGATGTCCTGACATGTTTCTGTAATGCATGTTCTTCTGAACCCCCTGGCTGCAGACTCTGACAACCTCTATATAGGATGACGGGTTTGTCATATGGGGGACATACTCTCTATACAGAAAATTGAAAAATAACTCAGTCTTCCTTCTAACATGGTTGATTGACATTTGTGTTTTAATTTTTGATAGTGTGAGGTGTGCTGGCCTCGTCAGAGTGGAGCAGACATGGACTGACTGTGGGCACCTGAAGAAAGAGTGAGGTGACTAGAGTAGGGGAGAGTGCTCCA